CTGCGCAGGAGGCCGGCTCCCGCTCCCGCTCCTGCTCCTGCTCCCGTCCCGGGCGTGTGCGCGCGCGGGGGTGTCGTCGGTCCCGGCGCGCGAGTGACTCACTCAACTTCACCCGGCGCTGCGGGGGGGAACAGGAAACTCCTCGCCAACAGCTGGGCAGGACCTCTCGCCGCCCTCGAGCCTTCTCCCTCTCTTAGCTCCCGGCCCTGGCTCTCTCCCCTAGCTGCCAATCACGCCCCCTAGACCAGCCCCTCCTAGGGCCCTGGCAAACTTTCAGCTGCCCCTCGCCGCCCGCAGGAGTCCTCCCTCCAAGTATTTACTGCGGGGTGACTAAGTGCACGCGTTTCACAAAGTAACTGAACATAGAAAGTGTATATACTTTTCAAAGCACCCTCCCGGAGCACCTTCCCCCTCTCTCCAACCTTCTTGGGGTGGTTCTGGGTGCTTAAGAGCTGTGTTTTCAAACTACAAGGAGCAACCCCGGACTGGATGCTGAAATCCAATGAGTTTGAGAACCCTTTTTTTTCTGTTAAAATCCTCAGAGTAACTATTGCCTCATTAAACCTTCGTTTCAGTTTGCATGCAGACACCGTTACATTGTAAAATGTTCTCTCGCTATAGGTGGGAGTCTAGAAACTTTTTCTCACAGAATGTGCATGTTGATCACCCGAGACTCTTGTTAAAAGGCAGAATCTGATTCAGCGCATCTGGGATGGGGCCTTTCTCATGAGCTTCTGGATGGGGGCTCCTACTTGGGACCGCCTCTTCCTGGGGGTGATTCAGTGAAGAACTGTAAATGATCAGCCGACCGGGAGTGACCGTGGTGGGAAATGTTCTTTTCAGAGTGTCCTCAGGTATGGCAGAAAATGTAAAACTGAAAGTGGCCTGGAGGCCAGCTGAGTGCTGGGGAGGGCATCCCAATAGTGCCGGTGAAGAGAGAGTACTCGGCCCCTTCTTTGCAAAAGGCGAAATCCTGGGAGCAGGACAGGATACACTTTCAACTTTCCCTTCTTGCCAGGGCCATCAGGTTTGTCCCTAACCACTCTGGTGTACATCTGTTTTGAAGTTCACCATTATCCAACCAAAACACGTTCTCTTTCCCATGTGTCTCTCTTGGATAATGAATTTACATACTCACCCTACTAACCGCTCTCCAGGCTTCAATTCCGTATAGCCCTCTAGTCTGTGGATCTTCCAGCAGTTTAAACAACTAACTCCTTTATCTGAGACAAAGATTGTTTGTGGGGAGGCAAGGTGGCCAGGTTTACTGGAAATGCATAAAAGCAAATAGCCTTCCCGTAAACACAACTCCTGAAATCTTCCCTTTCCGTCTGAATTCATTTGCTTGATCCTGGCGCCTTAGGTCTTGTCACCCCGGTTCCAACCAGCACCAAAGCTGCCTCTGAATGTGTCCTGCTCTTAGGTCTAGGAAGCAGGAAGGGCAGGGAAATTAGGAGGGATGGGCATCTTCTTGCCCACCAAAAGCATTGGCAAAGCTGGAGCCACTTTAAGGTGGAAAAAAGTTGACACAAAATGCTTCTCCCCATTTTCTCCTCCACAGCCACCTTGCCTATGCCATTGCCATCCCTTGAGCAGGAGTCCCCCCACCACTCACCCTCAGTCAGGGCCATCCTGAGCCCTCCCGCTCAGTTTCTCGAACCAGAGCTGAAGTCAGTGTTTCATTATGCAAACCTGGCTATCCCAACCCTCTGATTAAAATCACTCAGTGGCTTCTCACTGCTCTTGAGACAGAGGCTAGGAACCAGACCCGTTAGCCTGCCTTCGAGCCCCCTTCTCTCTTGTAACTTTCCTTTGGACTTCCCCTCCTCCCCTGCTGAGGGCCTTCTCTAAATGCCTAGAAAATGCCCCCCCTCTTCTCACTGCGCAGAGCCCTTCCCAGGGTGCACTTCCCTTCCTCTGACCTTCCTTTCGTCTTCACCCAGCCAGCTCCTACTCAGAACTTCCTTGATGGGCAGGCTTTCCCTGACCTCCCTGAGTAGATCTTTTATGATAGGTTCTCTTGGCACCATATGCCTCTCTTTTTTAACACTTACGACAGCTATCATTTCACCATTCTTTAACTTCTATTCCTCTCTCTCATGTAAGTCAAATTCTTTGAGGACAAAGATCAGTTTCCCTTCACTCATTACTATATCCCCAGCACCTAGCACATAATAGATGTTCAATAAATGTTTGTTGGATGAGTGGGCAAATGAGGTAATAAAGATTCAGACAGAGGCCATACGGAATCCTACTTACTTAAAGAAAGCACTGTATTACCTAATGCACTGAGATAAACAAGCTAGATTTCAGCCCAGGGTGATGTCACTACTACTTCCTTTTCTTAAAAATAGAGAAGTGTGTAAGTTTCCTTTTTTTTTAATTTTTTCTAAATTTGCCCAAGTTCCTCCAGACAGCATGCGTATGTTTCCTTTCTCCCCAAAACACACTGAGGTAAATAAATGCCTAACTGATTCTAAAGACTTTCTTTTCCGTATTTATTGCAAAGTCGGATGTTAGCGTTGTTGGAGACCAGGCTTGCGGTATCTCATTCTGTGGTGCGAGATTTTACTGGTGGTCTTTGTCATCATGTATCACTAATGCTGATTTTAATTTTGTGTGCCTTGAACATTTCCGATGTGATCCTCAATCTCCTGTGAAATTGGGAGTCTGAATTCAGCACTGCCAAGTGCAAGCTCGCCTTTTAACAACCATCACAATGAAATCATAGACATGTCAACTCACACATATTGCAACTTGACAGTCTTAAAAATCTGTCAAGATCACCTTCCTTTTGGGATTCTCATTGAAAGAGAAGTTTGATACCCTTGATTAAGTTGTTTCACACATAGTTGTATATTTGACTAAGTATAATTTTCTGTGTATTCACACAGGCAGTTAATATACATATGCAAAAATTGGGCCATTTGCAGATGGAAACAAAAACTGAAAGCTCGACTCAGGACTTAAAAAACAAGGAAGGGCCCGGCCAGTGTAGCTCAGTGGTTGAGCATTGACTTAGTATCCAGGAGATTGCTTTTCCATTCCGGTCAGGGCACATGCCTGGGTTATGGGCTTGATCTCCAGCAGGGGGTGTGCAGGAGGCAGCCAATCAATGACTCTCATCATTGATGTTTCTCTCTCTCTCTCCCCCTCCCTCTCTCGGAACTCAATAAAGATATATTAAAAAAAACAAAAAAACAAGGAAGGTCATGTTTAAGCCCTTACCAAGTTGAACAATGATAAAAACCAACTTGAACCAACATTCAACAGCTTGAATATCTTCATTTGTCCAGTTTGGCAAACTCTAAACATACATTAAACAATTGGACTGCATCTAAATGCCGTTAATGTGAGCCCTGCATTTCCCAGTTGTGATGAAGCAGGAATTTTCTACTCCCCTGAACTTGTTGACATGCAGCTGTTGAGGTTACTGGTGACTAAAGCAGTTGATGGGAGACTGCTCTCCATGTAAATCAATCTCTCTGCACTCTCAGCTCTTATCTCTTGCCCAACTTTCCTTCTGTTGTGAAGCAGACCCATAAGCACTGAGTCAATAGTGACTTTGTGAGGGTCACCCACCCACCCTCTCAGGGTCACCCCTGATGCTAGGTCCTCCGGGAAACATTTGTGATTCTTCCAGCCTAATATGATCTCTCCTCTACCAGAGAGAACCCAAAAAGCATTAATTTTATTTATCTTTTTTTAATGTCTGCTCCATGCAGACATGAAGTACATTATAGTTACGCATTTCTTTTTTAGAATTCTACCTCACCAATTGTAAAGTCCTTGAAAATACAGATTATTCCTTTGTCAACTTTGAACCCCACTCTGTGCCCTCTAGTACTCAATGTATATTGTCTTCCATAGAGGGAAAAATAAGAATATCTATTTCCCTGATCCATTCCCTTGTTTGCAATTCTTCATGATATTAATAGAACCTGCAGTTATGTCATGTGTTTACAGAAAGCATGCAGACCTTCTTTTAAGGGAAAAGAATAACTTTTTTAAAAATTACAAAAGTAATATATAGATTACTTTTAGGTAGAAGAAAATGTCTAAAATACAGACAGAAAATAAAAGACAGAAGATAAAAAGAATCCCTACCCTTGTCACTAAAAGATAATAGCTGTCAACATTTTGGGACAAGTCCTGGCAGCACTATTCTAATCTTCCCTTTACAGGTAAAAGAATTTGAGGGTTAGAGAGGTTAAGTATTCAAGTATTTGCCAAAGGTCACATACCTAGAAAAGGACAGGACTCAGCTTGAACTAAGGCCTGTCTAGAGCCAGAGTTCTTAGGGCAGCCCCAGCCAACTAATACACCCAATTTCCTGCTGCTTTGTTCAGCTATTTCGTCTCAGTATCTTCACAGGTCTGTTTTCTTTCATTCACTGTTCAAATGCAAGTGCCTACCAATTCTGTCCACTGCCCCTCTCTCATTCCTGCTGAGGACATATCTATTTCTATGGTTTCACTGATAAATGACGATTTACAAAGCTAGTGATCAAGCCCTACTTTCTCACAGAAGCTACAATTATTCTAACTGCCCACTCTATTCTCTTCACAGATGTCCCACTGGCACCCATGCTTATTACTCAAAAGTGCAACTCCAACATGTATGTCCCCTGGGAGCACTTCTTATACCAAGGAAACCCAATGGGTAACCCAAACCAAGAACATAAAAATCAGCTAAGAGTTTGCTTCTATTTTGCCTTCCAGAACTTGGTAGGCACTGGGAGCTTATTGACTTCCTACACAACTCTTGAATCAATTCTGTTCTCATCTCCATCACTCATATTCTGTTTCTTATTTCATGTGGGGTTATTTCAATGGCCTCATCTTCTTGCTTCTCTACTATGTCTTACCCCATCTACCAGGTCCTCCGCCGTTAACAGATTGTTCCCTTCCACAAATACAGGAAGAACAGTCACATTTAAAATTATCCAATGCCTTTCCATTGCCTTCAGGATCTCATTTCAACCTACAATTCATCTATTTATTCATTCAACCAGCATTTAATTCTCTACTAGGACCGAAATATTGTGTTATGCAATGAAGACATAAGGTCTCAGAAAATATAATCCTAGCCTTAACTGAAGGGCAAGAGGCTGTCCTCAGGATGGAATGGGAAACATTG